CTGTCTTTGAGTGCACTTCACTCCGCTCTCGAGTCTTCTGCATGAACTTCATCTGCAGTAAGTTTGCAGACAGAGATCCGCTCTTTGATTTCCGTTTAGACATCTTCCGCAGTCAAGATCACAGACACGAGACAGTGGTGCAAATGGATGGAGGGATGGATTGGTTGGCAATCAGTGAAACACAACTCAATTAACGGCAAAACATAGCAATTATTGTTGTTTTGAATTTGCGGTCAAAACAGCGTTTCATTCAAATGACGTCGCGTTCACACAATTCACACATCAATGACGCCATTGAGGGACACAATGAGCGCCAAAATTATGTCATATGTTTGCCATTCAGTCATCGTTTGCATTGTATTAACCATTGATTGTCTCAAGAATTGTGGACCAAATGAGACAAAACGTGTTTATAGTGTCCGGTATTATAATAACATTGATTTCAGTCATTATTATCATGTCATCTATTGATTGGTCACTATTATAGCACCCAATGTGTGGAAAGGCATCGACTCTTTGACTCCCGTGTGGATCGATTCCAGTGGTGACACTCCGAAGACATTGTACTTCATTGATGTGAATGACAGTCAACTCTACGAGTGTGTCCGACAGACCAACAAATTTCAGTCATTTTTCCTCCAAAACACTGTCATCTCAGGTATTGATCCGTAATTATCTGTCGATTACTGTTACTCGAAGACTAATCGGTGACCAAATGATTGTCTCATTAGATGGCAATTACTATGTCTTCACTCCAGTGGATGTGGTGTTCATTATATTGCCGTTTGTTCTGAAAGTAATGGAAAACTACTCAATGAATGACCACTTAATTGATTGCCATTTGAATGACAGAAACGAAAACAATTTCACTCTTTGTTTGAGATTCTGAGCGATGTTTTGGTCGACAAAGAAATGGTGCCGAAGATCGAGACATCACTCGATCCGCAGATAATATCCGCAATTGTGGACATAAAATGTATGTCGTTTTTGTTCACTTTATTTATCGAAAAATTGATTTAAAATTAATTAATTTTGAAGACATTATGAATCCATTGAATTGATTACAGATATTAACGAAGAAATGTATGTCCGCTATAATAGTCAGAAGACAATGGAGTGGTTGTCGATAAAGATTGACAATACTGTGGAGGCTTTGAGCAGAAATCAAATCAATGTCTCGTCGAGTGGTTGTAAAGTTAGTGGTTATAAGAGTGGCAAAGAAGACATCACTCAAGAAAAGGGTTAGTTTTGTAACTTTTGTCGGAATAGTTTGAGTTGTGTTTGAATGCCATCACAAATGGTTGACAACATTGTCGTCCACTTCATTGGGAAGTGTGACCCGAACTTTGCTGTTGTTTTGCATAATGTCTTGAATGGTGTGTCGAGCCAATTGATTGCCAGACCACGAGCGCCGACTCACGCCATTCATCACCTATTTGTTCCATTCGTGGATAAAACAGTAGAAATAATTTTGCAAATGAATAGTTAAGAAGTGTTAGACAACTCACATCCCAACCCAATATATTAACCACTTTATCGNATTTTGCAAATGAATAGTTAAGAAGTGTTAGACAACTCACATCCCAACCCAATATATTAACCACTTTATCGTGTGATTCTTGAGAGCCGTCCAGAACTAAGCCAAAGCCACAATTAATGACTTCACCGAAACCGACCCCTAAAACCATTTAAAATATAATTATATTTTCAAAATTTCTTATTTGAGTCATTAAAATGAATGCCGAAAGAGTGGTGTCTGACCGCCGCCATTGTGAAGGGCAACCCAAGTGCAACCTCTGCCCGAATTGCCGATAACTGTCGAGACCGCCATATCCGCTGTAAAGGCTGAGCCGTCGTATATATTAGAGGTCTCTCGGAAAGGACTGTCAGCGCCGCTCACGTCGTGATGATCTCGCGATAAAATGATTGGACTTTTGATAGTTTTGTTTTTGATGGCTTCGTTGAACGCCAGACCAATGCTTACTCTTCCGATTTGATCGGAGTATAAAATCCTCGCCTGACTTCCCACCACTAGTTTGTGCTCTTTTGCCTCTGATATCCATTTAATATTATCCATATAGTTATCCTTCACTTCTTTTGGAATGCCATCCCTTTCTACCAGTTGTTTGAGAACA